GGGTCGTCAACTGTGCATGCACCAAACAATGATCGAGTTGGGAGCAAGCACTTCCTGTCTTTGTGCTGAACTGACAGACAAGGGGAATCCAGGATGAATAACAACTGGTCACCGAACAAGATGGATGGAAGTTGCACATTTGCGACTGCTCCGATGCCAATCCTGAGGCTCCACTTGAAGGCCAGGGCACCCTTCTGGCTCACCAGGGATTCCAGCTTCGAAAGGTCTCCTAATCCGACGTGGTCGGAGTCCTTGACAACCTCAGCTTGAGTTGCTTGGATGCCATGAGAGCCGTCTCTTCGCTAGTCACAATTGTAGACATTGGTGTGGGTCAAAAATAGGTACTGTACCCAGAATGGAAGCCTGGTAAATGGAAACAACGACTGAAACCTGCGGTCCCCTGATGGTCCAGCCTTGATGCATAGAGAGTGGTTGCCAGCCAACATGGATCAACATAAGGCGCAGCATGTCCAAAAATTGAAAGCCATGGCAGGGTTGTGCCTGGACAGTTCATTCAGCTACTCAGGAATCAAACCAGAAAATGCCTTCCTATGGCATTCTATTAGCGCTCCGGTCACTGAGTTTGTCCTTCTCAATGCTCAAGGTCCCCATCTTTCCAGCAAAGCAGTAAGATGTGATTGGGGAAACAACTTTTGAGGCCGTATCAGCTTCCCCGAAGCCTTCTGAAGTGCCTTGAGCCAACATGATCATGGCAATCTCCTTGGATTGCTGGTTTGCGAATTTGGCATCACGCCACTCATATGAGGGGTCGGAAACAAAACTACTCCCGTGCGAAGCCATCGCAAAATAAAACAGTGTCAACTTCCCTGCAAAACTGACAGGGGAAATCAAACATCACTTAAGTCGAATGACGATGAAGCGCTGCGTTCTGTGAAGCACACAAAGCTGCTAGGACGCTCCTTTAAAAAAAACTGTCTACCTTCCATAGTCCTGTCTTCCTCAGCAACTTGATCTAAGGTTTGACGGAAATACCTTGACTTTCCAAGGGGGAAGGTACCTTTTGACACTGTTCCCATCGAACGCACAAAACAGTCTTGGGAGGGGCAAAGAGAACACAAGACAGCACTGAGCGCTAAGGCACATGGCAAGGAAGGAGTATGCTGCCTCAATGGTCGCTTTGTTGGTTGTGCAACCAGGAACCCCCTGCCCATTTGCAAGGTACCCTCAACTGAAAACAACAACACGTAAACAGCTTGCATTTCAAAACAATTGCGGAGGGCTTGACAAGAAGTGCACAATGCACAGGCTTCCTGCCGCGAAACACCAAGCCAGGTTTCCTCTAAGCGTCAGCCGCAATCCGGGCGTGATGTAGGAGATGCTTCAGCAACGTGGTCTTCCTCAGCCGAGACTCTGGTGGCAGGGCGTCTTGCCTTTCGACCCCAAGCAAACTTTCAGGCGGGTTGTAGATGTATATACATATATATATATAATGTCTTTATGTGGTTCAGCTGCCTCCGCACCTCCAAACAACCGCTCTCGACGGCTTCCATTCGGAAAGTAGAGAAAGGGCAACACCAACGTTGATTGCCACCCTACAACCCCCCCCCAAAAGGAAGCCAACCAAAGGCTTTCGAGACAAACTCACATAAAGCTTTGCATCGGCACGATAATCTCCCAAACAGAACCCCTGACTCCATTGGCAGCAACAGGGATCCTTATATTATACAGCCTTGTCAATGGTGGTTTCCCTTGATTTTGGTGGAAAAAGCCATGTTTCAAATGGTTGGTTGCAACATGTATCTTTTAAGAAGCCCTGAGCAACTTTCCGATTTTTGCGTCTCTTGGTTCCGCTGGTGGGCCCGAGGGCTCTAACACCGGGTCAACTCTAGAGCACAGCAGCAGGCCGCTTCTCGCAATACAGTGGTTGATTCAAATGGTTTCGGCTCAAAAATCCGGAATTCCAAAATGGGTTGCCCGGGTAAGTGGAAAGATGGACCAAAACCTGCGTAACCCCTCCTGTTTGATTTCGAACCACACCCAAATGACAATTCTATCACTTTCACCTAGAAACAAATCCCCTTGACACCAAAGACGACAATCCCGAACCAACTTCTCCACGAGTATGGGTTGGAGCGGAATACGATGGGTGGAAGCGCCAAACCTCTCATGGGTTGAAAAGGGGCAGAACACCAAAACCAAGGATCAAAGCTCCTAAGAGCTTGAAGGGAAAGGCTTCACATTGAAGGGTCCAAAGTTGCTCCGAAGACCTCGGCACCAAGAAAAAACTGTCCTATTGCAGGACATGGCGCCCATAGCGCCTTCTGTTCTCACCCTTGCAGTCCTCGCTGTCGGACCCGAACTCCACAACTTCTTTGATTTGTTGATTGTCTGCCCGGCTTGTGGTTGCTTAGGACCCTGTTCATGTTCTTCCCTCTGGTCATAGGCTAACCCAGCCGCTCTCTCTTTTGGCCGAAGAGCCCTGCGGAGGGCAGGCCCAGCAACAGAGTCACCAGGCACGTGGGGCCGCTTGGCGCGGGAC